CCTTCTCGCCTGCCAGAACCGAGCATAGTCACTGATTTGTCACTAGCAGAAGAACAGGAAAGACAGCTGCGATCCATGCCTGCCAAAGAGGCGATTACAGTATGGAGCATTGAGGAATGCTTCGAAGGCATGAAATCTGCTTGGGCAACCAGCAAGAGTGTCAGTGAATCAGAGCCTAAAGAGGAACTAGACGCCCTACAAATAATTTCATATCTGGAAAGCTGGTCACTGTAAGCTCCCAGCTTGACCCAGAAATACCCAGATGATCCTCCCATTCTCTCTTCAGTGATGTATAACCATGAGTACTGGGAAACCATGCAAGTGGATGGCTTCCAGGTCATCCATCCCAACTCCATTGCCTTTCCCCATCAAGATGGTGTAGTGTGCTTCCATCATATTTGTGGTCTGGGTATAAGGCATGTATAGTGTGATAGAGGTAGTGTTTAAAAGTCCGGTCTGGTCCGGTTTTTTGATGCCTCTGGGCCTTAACCGTAACCGTAACCGGTCCGCATTTTTCCCAAAAGTCAAAAGACTGAACCGGACCGCAAAAAACCGTGGTCTGCGGTCTTTTTGCAGTCTATAGACCGGTCTTGGTCTTCTTCGGTTTTAACCGGTTTAAGACCGGTTTTCTGGCCAATATTTTAAAATTATGAATCGGTAAATTTGTTAACGTGTTTCGTAGCTTTAAAAAGAGCCAAAGAACGTTAAATTCCGTTGAGAATTGGTGTTTCTATAAAAAAGGTCGTGTACATCTACTATTTTTAACGAAATTTTACATTTTTATTTATATCTTTGTCAATTCTGAACCAATTAATACGTGCTTGGGTGCGTTTTGAAGGGTATTTAAGGGGCTACAAAAGACCGGTCCAAACCGGTTAAGACAGGTCCATTTAGACCGGTTTTTTTGCGGTCTTTAGTTCTCAAAAATAAAAGACCGTAACCGCAGGTCCGGTTTTTTGTGGTCTCGGTCTGGTTACGGTCTTTTTCCAGTCATGAGACCGGACTTCCAAACACTAGATAGAGGCTTGCACCTCTCCACTCAGATTGTTGATCCCAACTCAACTCCCTCTACCCATCAGTACTTTACCCTCCCCCATGAGTTCCGGCAGACTCCAGCGGACTCCCATAGAATGTCAGAATTCCATCCGGAGTCCACCGGAATGGTAGGAATCTCAAATTCCAGTGGATTCCGCCGGATTCTGAATGGAATTCCAATGGATTCTGCCAGATTCTGAATGGAATTCCAATGGATTCCACTGGAATCTGAATGGAATTCCAGTGGATTCTGCTGGTGGGGAGGTGCAACGCCTGCAACTGTTCTGACCGGATGACTAAGTGCACAGCCACACAATTCCTGCCAAATGTCTTGTTGCGTCTTCGAAAATGCTTTCCTCGTGTTCCACCACAATTTCTAGGCTGGTAAAGGTGTAGTAAATATATGTATGTTAGATTATAATATGAATCTGTGGTAAAATTAAAATAGTGACTATGCTAGGTCGTCATGATAGTCAGATTCATAAAATGAGTCTTCTGGACCTGCCATTATGACATCATCAACAGCCGTTGAGATTTGGTTCTGTGCATCACCTCCCGAGGTTTGACACCGAAAAAGATATCTGGCAACCGCTTTCTTCAACTGAAGAACACGGTCAGGCTTGGCCTTCATGTGCGACTTCAAAGGAACTTTCTCCATGGAAGTTTCCGCGACAATGACAGCCCTGGGAAGCTTCCTTTCTTCTTCACGATGGAAGTCGAGTTGGCGGTTGAGTTCTTTGTTGTCCAGTCCATCTATCTCCGCGTCTGTGAGAACTAGCTTTTTCCCGTTTCCACAAGCATCGCCTCTCTCTCGTTGCGCTTTCCTTGTTTTTTGGCCTCCTTCAACACGTTCTCCGCCACTTTTGCCTTGTCGGACTCGATCTGTGCTTCCTTCATCCGCCTCTGAAAATGACTCTCATCACGGGTACACGCTACCTGCCTGAGGTAAATGTGATCCACGTTCTCTTTCAATTTTTCTGACATGAACTCTTCAGTGTGGTTCTGCCTCGCCGTGAACAACGCGTTGAATTTGTGCAATGTCTCTCCAGGTCGTCGCCTTTTTCCAAGACGAAGGCTCCGAAGTGCTCCTTCGTTCCCATCATTTGTGGGTGAAAAAAAGAGGGTCTGTCGTTCCGCCTCGGTCAATTTATCGATATCGCCGGCCTCTTTGAATTCGTCAGAGAAACGCTCAACGAACGTGTCGCGGGCACCCGAAACAAATGCGAGAATTGCTGATTTGAGGTCAGGAAGGCTTGGTGCAAGTTCCTTCACCGCATTCATGACTTTCATCCCCCACTCATCCCACTCATCACCATCTAGGGTCCCAGCCTCATGCGTAAATTCCTGCGATGTCCAAATCTCCGTTTCGCCGATCACTCGATTCAAAAAGGTAACCTTATTTTCGAAGAAGGACTTCAAATCCAGAAGATTCTTGTGGGCACGGACATGCTTCATGAAGGGCTGTGAAATGTTAACGTGATACAATGCCAGAACGCAGAGTTCCGTTAACGTTGGCGTATCCTTCAGGGCGTTCGCAAAGTTCTTCTCGATATTCATCTCCCCAGGTTTGTCCTTCGTGTTTCGTACAAACTCCATGAAATTGATAAAGTGTTGGTGATAGGCAATTATGGTTCCCGCGGCCTCTCCATGGGATCCATAGCAGGTGTTACTGACGTCGGGATAGGGAACACGGTGGCCAACATGGCACAGCATATAATAGTCATATGTGTCTTGCTGACCCTTTTTCGTATCTTTGTTTCGACAGATCATGCCACCTAGGGCTGTGGTATGACTTCCACCATGTTTTGAGACTTCTTCAGCTCGTATTTCAGCATTGGTCTGAGTAGAAGATTCGGTTCGCCCAGCGAGAACAGCAGCGTTGTCCTTGTTGGCAAGGAGAATAGGTGGTGTCTTGTTTTCCTTCTCCCACATCCCTTGCACTGCCTTATCTCCCCATTTGACACAGTTCAGATCCTTGTGCATGCAGCACCCTGTCCGAATGAAGGAGGTAAGGCACCTTTGGTGATCCTCGGGCAGCTTTTCGAAGACTTGCTTCCCAACCTCTCGAATAATCTCGATGTCGGCAGTTGCTCGCTTGTCTTCGGTGAGTTTGTCCCAGGCTTCTTGTCCACCATGCTTTTCGATTTGCTTCCCTTTTAAAGGTACAAAAAGGGCAATGACCCTTGTGACGTCCATCTGAAAAAGAGCCTCCTCTCCTAGACGCTGGAGAATCACCTCCATCCTCCAAATCCGCAAGATTTCGTGACTTTTCTTCTGGTCTGCTGCATGGTCGCCACTTGTGCCAATCAAACGGTAGGCAAAGTCATCAGGAACAAATTATTGTAAGCCCTCGCGTTTTGCTAATGGGCTGTTATTAAAGATTTCGGCAATTTCTTGTAGGCGCTCCTTCAATCCATTGACTTGCATCTCGCTTGTATGGTTGACGGAAGTCCCTACTCCCAAAGTACGCATCGTCCACTTTGGTTCTTTAGTTGGATTCAAGTAATCAACAACCTTCAGCGCAATAGTCCGGGATTCAAACTCGATGTGCTTGTGAGACGTCGAATCTGAACTGTAAGTGATTTCTGTTTTATAATGAGAGAACCGTTTAATTAATTTAAAAATATGCACATACTCATACCGGATGAAACCATGAGTCTTGCGAGGGCTCGAGTTTGTTGAGTATAAATTCCCCGCCGAGTCATACGAAATTCTGATGACTGCCGCTTCTTTCGCATCCGCTCCTTCAATGACTTCAGCTGTGACGTGATCTTTCTTGTCCTTTTTCGAAGAACGGCACTTGTTTGAGTTAAGTTTTTCTTCGCTTCTTGCAATTCTTTGACCCTGGCCTGGAGAAGACAGATTGATTCATCGGCAACAGCCTGGACTTCCCCAAGTTCCTTTCCCAACATCTGCAATGCACCCCGCATCCTATATGCCTGCTCCTTTATATGTTTTAGGTCCACCTTTCGTGCAACATGGGCCTTTTGGAGGCGGTGATTCCTTCTTCTTTCATTCCAATATTTCGTTTTCTGGTTTTTTAACTGCTGTTCATAGTCGGATAGTTGATGCTTGAGGTCATGTATAGTCTTTTCAGATGCAGACATGCCGTTTTCCGCTTCCTCGTCGTGTCGGTTGGGCCAACGAGCAAGATCTGCCTTGTGCAGAGACTGGATTTGTGCTTTGGAGCGCCGTTTTGGCTTTCGCGCGATGCTTCGCGTCATTAAAAGTCACTGAGAGTGATTTAGATAGTAAAGATAATGTAGAGTGGCCTGGATAGTTGTCGGAAATGTGTGTTATCGTCGTAAATCGACACGTCGACGCGACGCGACGCCTCCTTCATGTGATTACATAATCTAATTTGGCGTGTTTCGCAGGCTGATTTTTGAAAACAAAATACCTACTTTGCATGGCAGATGGGCCATATACTTTGTAGGAAGACTATACTTTATTTTTGATTGTACAGGGAATGGCCCGAGAATTTCAAATATAATCTTACTGCTCCCCATAGGTTGGGGAGATATCTACACCTCATGTTTGGCTTTTTTTGGGTATTCTCGGGCCATTCCCTCGAAAACTTGTTTTAGTCCCAATTTGCGTATGAATACTTCCAGATATTGAACTGGGTCACGCAAAATATTGATTTTCCTTGATTCTCACCCATGTATGGGTGAGCCAAACAACTACAAACACAAAGTGATCTTGCAGGCATTGCGCCTCCCCACTGCTGGACTCTGAATGAAATTCCCATGCACTTACTAATTTTATGGATGGATTTTAAATATAGATTGATCAGATGGCATTGATACAGGGCATTCAGTAGATGCACTATAGAACCATAACAATAGAAATTGGATTTTGTCCCAATGGCTCATAGGGCTACCCAAATGGCGCCAACGCTGATGCATGCTATGGTACAATGGGTGGGCCTGATGGGATACTGACAGTTAAGGTTGAATGGTGGGCCCAATGTTTAAGCCAAATAAATCACTGCAGACACACCATTTGGCCCAATTATGGTAGTAATAAGTAGGTGGTATTGGCCTAAGGGTAATGGTTGGGCCCAACACTGAAGGAATGTAATGGGCATATGTTTGGCCCAATCGCACATGAATATGTTATGGGCTAAAGTTGTGGCCAATGTAATTTCTGTGCCTAATGGCATAAGTTGGGCCCAACAGCTCACGAGATAGCTTAAGGTGCCTATGTTGGGCCATCCTCTGTACAAGTATATGTTTTGTTGTTGGACCCAATGTGTGGCCCAGCAATTTTCCGGATATTGCGGTCTGGAGAAAATTTGCAGAGTTCCCGGATATTTGGCTTGAACCTTGTGGGAATCCAGATATTGTGCTTGGCAGTAAATTCTCAGGATTCTGGATATTCTATTTCTGGAATTTGGCTTGTGTGGATATGGTGGGAATGTGGATATTGTGCTCAGCAGTAAATTCTCAGGATTCCCGGATATTGCATTTCCAGAATTTGGCTTGGCCCAGGTGTCTGGACAAATGTTGCATGAAAATGCGGAAGTCTTGAAGGTCAATTCAAATGTTAATGGCATCTGCGAAATATCCGAAAAAAGACAACCCAAGTTTCCGGACAAATATTGTATAAAATACGGAAGTCCCGAAGGTCAATTCAAATGTTAACGGCATGTGCGGAATATCCGAAAAAATAACAACCCAGGGGTCCGGACAACTGTTGCGTGAAAGTGCGGAAATCCGAACCCTCAATTTAAATATTAACAGCATGTGCAGAATATCCTGGACAAATGTTGCTTGAAAGTGTGGAAGTCTCGAAGTGTCAATTTAAATATCCATGGATGTGCAGAATATCCGAAAAAAGGAACCCAGGTGTCTGCACAAATGTCGCATGAAAGTGCGGAAGTCCCGAAGTGTCAATTTAAATATTAACGGCATCTGCGAAATATCCGTAAAAAAAGACAACCCAGGTGTCTGGAAAAATGTTCTGTGAAAAGGCGGAAGTCTCGAAGGTCAATTTAAATGTCAACGGCATCTGCGAAACATCCGAAAAAATAACAACCCAGGTGTCCGGACAAATATTGCGTGAATGTGCGGAAGTCCCGAAGCATCAATTTAAATATTAACAGCATGTGCGGAATATCCTGGACAAATATTGTGTGAACATGTGGAAGTCCCAAAGCATCAATTTAAATATCCATGGTATGTCTGGAATATCCGAAGAAATAATAACCCAGGTGTCTGGACAAATGTTGTGTGAAAATGCAGAAGTCCTGAAGGTCAATATAAATGTTAACGGCATGTGCAGAATATCCGAAAAAATAACAACCCAGTTGTCCGGACAAATGTTGCATAAAAATGCGGACGTCCTGAAGGTCAATATAAATGTTAACGGCATCTGCGAAATATCCGAAAAAAAGACAACCCACGTGTCCGGAAAAATATTGTGTGAAAGTGCGGAAGTCCCAAACCATCAATTTAAATATTAATGGCATGTCCGGAATATCCTGGACAAATGTTGCGTGAAAATACAGAACTCTTGAAACATCAATTTAAATATCCACAGCATGTGTGAAATATCCAAGAAGAAGACAACCCAGGTGTCTGGACAAATGATGTGGAAATCCTGAAGCATCAACCCAATTATCCACGGCCTGTGCGAAATATCTCAGAAATGTTCCATGAAAATGCTGAATCCCCGAAGTATTAATCCAAATATTCATTTCGATGAATTTCATGAATTCAGCTACTCTGTCAGTTCTGCTCCAGAAATTATGTTTCTAGGCTCGTTCGAAAGCTTGTGGGCAGGGGTATCCTACCCCGTACCATTACCTATACCTGTACACCATGCGGGATACCCAAACCTGTGCCATTGTCTGTGTACAAATATGATACTATCATACACATGCCATGGAAGCCCAGAAGGATGCGAAATCTCCAGAGCCTTGATTTCCAAATACACTGGATATGAGGAAATGAATGGGGGTTGAGTATCTCAAATATATCATGCCACCAGCATATGTAGATGTAATAGAGTTACGCTTGATATCTTAGTTATCTGAGTGATTTTATACATTGTATTAGGGTAATAGAACTTTGACCACCATGTCCAAGGAATAGTTCCTGTGCACTTCATGCCTCTGAATTCTCAAGGCAGGAGGGCTTTCTGTCCTGGGCCAATATACCCTTCAGACCAAAGGAACTCACACTTCGCACATGTTCTGAATCACCATAGAATATTGTGAATACTTTCTTACATTTATACATACCCAGAGAATATTGAACATCAAATATTCAGCTTCTCATTCAATTTTGCGGGACATTTATGCAACCACCAGGGCTGTTTTTTCGGATATTCCACACATCCCATGGATATTTAAATCGATGCATGCAACATTTCTGAGATATTCTGCACATGCCTTTGGGTTTAGTTAGAACCTGTTAATATTTAAATTGAGGGTTCGGAATTTCTGCACTTTCATGCAACATTTGTCTGGACACCTGGGTTGTTATTTTTTTTGGATATTCTGCACATGCCGTTAACATTTAAATTGACCTTTGGGACTTCCGCATTTTCACACAATATTTATCCGGACACCTGAGTTGTTATTTTTTCGGATATTTCGCAGATACCGTTAACATTTAAATTGACCTTCCGCATTCTCACACAATATTTGTCCGGACATGTGGGTTGTCTTTTTTTCGGATATTTCGCAGATGCCGTTAACATTTAAATTGACCTTCAATACTGCTGCATTTTCATGCAACATTTGTCCAGACACCTGGGTTGTTATTTTTTCGGATATTCCGCACATGCCGTTAATATTTAAATTGATGCTTTGGGACTTCTGCACTTTCACACAACATTGTCCGGACACCTGGGTTGTTATTTCTTTGGATATTCCACACATGCTGTTGATATTTAAATTGAGACTTTGGGACTTCCACATTTTCATGAGACATTTGTCCAGACACCAGGGTTGCCTTTTTTTCGGATATCCTGCACATCCTGTGGATATTTAAATTGACACTTCGAGACTTCCACACTTTCAAGCAACATTTGTCCAGGATATTCCGCACATGCTGGTAATATTTAAATTGAGGGTTCGGGATTTCCGCACTTTCACGCAACATTTGTCTGGACACCTCGGTTGTTATTTTTTCGGATATTCTGCACGTGCCGTTAACATTTAAATTGACCTTTGGGACTTCCGCATTTTCACACAATATTTATCCGGACACCTGAGTTGTCTTTTTTCGGATATTTCGCAGATACCGTTAACATTTAAATTGACCTTCAAGACTTCCGCATTCTCACACAATATTTGTCCGGACATGTGGGTTGTCTTTTTTTCGGATATTTCGCAGATGCCGTTAACATTTAAATTGACCTTCAATACTGCTGCATTTTCATGCAACATTTGTCCAGACACCTGGGTTGTTATTTTTCGGATATTCCGCACATGCCGTTAATATTCAAATTGATGCTTTGGGACTTCTGCACTTTCACACAACATTTGTCTGGACACCTGGGTTCTTATTTCTTTGGATATTCCACACATGCTGTTGATATTTAAATTGAGACTTTGGGACTTCCGCACTTTCATGTAACATCTGTCCTGACACCTGGGTGGTTATTTTTTTGGATATTCTACATGTCCCGTAGGTATTTACATTGATTCCACAGCGTCTGGAGAATATGCCACAAATTCAAGCAAAATCTCCGGAAATGCAATATCTGGGAATTTGCTGAATTTTCTCCAGACCACAATATCCAGAAAATTTGCACTGTGAACTTGAAAAGGGACCTTCCGCGTTCCTTCAGTTGTTCCGCCCCCTTTCACCACGTATATTCTGAGCCAAACTTGTGCACAGATAATTGGCGGTATGTTTCCATCCATCAGGTAGACTGTCCACGATCCTTCAGTTGTTCCGCCCCCTTTCACCACATATATTCTGAGCCAAACTTGCATGCGGATAATTGGTGGCATGTTTCCATCCATCAGGTATATGGTTGTCCTCATGTTGTGCATTCGGAGCTTTCTCCGGACCACTCTTTGGATGTTCCTCCCCCTTTCACCAGGTATATTCTGCACCCAAGTTGTGCAAAGATAATTGGTGCCATCTATTCAACCATCATGTATATAGTCCAAGTGATAGCCTGGGCCTTACTTTGGTTCCATAGGAACTGGGCCCACATTTGGCACCATTCCCCAAGTATATGGTCAAGGTGGATACCCTGGGCCTCACTTTGGTTCCATAAGTTACTTACATGTGCTGGTCCCACCTATGGTACCATGCCCTGTATGGTCATTGGGCCCATTTGGGTAGCCCTATGAGCCATTGGGACAAAATCCAATTTCTATTGTTATGGTACTATAGGCATACTTATGTCTACTTGTGATTGATAGATCAGCAGACTTGATTGATATTGTATATACATTTAGTTTGTGTAATTCTAAAGTGAGTCATCTACTGTTCCCTCTTCTTCTTCTTCTTCTTCTTCTTCAGTAGAATCTTTACTTAATTCCTGCTTTCTAATCACATATCTTGTGTGATAGAAAAGCATAGTATGAAGAAACCAGTTAAAGTTTCCTTGTGTCATTCTTTTCAAGATGGAATCAAATCCACCAAGCCATGAATTTAATTGTTCACAAGCCTGCAAAAGCAATAAGTTATAAAATATATATTATAAAATTAAGAACTGTACCTGAGTACTGAAGGCTCTTTTCAAATATGGTCGACCATTTTTATCAACAGCAGATATAACCAGATTAGGTGCAGAACTATTGAGAGGTGCAGGATTACACCATTTATGACAGATATAGTCAGTTGTGCAATGATTAATGTAATGGTAGCTATCCACAATGAATCGAGTAGTCTTTTTCCATATCCGCTCCCAGCTCCCATTGGCTATCGCAGTTCGAAGCACTAGGCATGCATTATCAATGCAAATGTAATCTGGTCTAGATTCCTCTGTTGGAAAGATAGATTCCAACCAATTTAAAATATTTGTTGGTGATTCTGCCTTGTCAAATTTAGTCCATGCAATAACAACACCACATGGGGCAGTTATGGTTTCTACACAATAAAATCGAGAAGGGTTGAAATAATGTTTGACTTGTGGTTCAGACGCTGGTTGGTCATGAGGCTGTACAGGTCTTTCATTGGAAGGTTGCCAAGGCATATTTTCTGCAGGTCACTGAAGCATTCTTTTTACTCCAGCTAAACTCTGTTTACTTCTGCTATTTGAATCCTTTTTCCATTCACCTTGATGTTCACTACAGGCCTGTGTTCCAGATTTCTTTGTTGATGTACAACCACGTACACGGCATTTTGCCCATATTGTGAGTCATGAAAGTGACAAAATACTCCACCACCCACCACGTGCATTTGCCAACTCAGAAGTACAATTGTCATATGCACAATGTGTTTGCCCCATAATAATGCCATCCATCACAATCATTTTCACAGGTGCAGCATTTTCATCAACATTTGTGTCTGAAGCACCCTGATTATGTTGTTGAGCATTAAGTCAAGCTTGAGCAGCATCTGCAGCTGCTAGATCAGCCCCTTCTCCAACAAGTGGAGGTACATGTCTGTTTTCATCCTCACCAACTAAAGCAGCTGGATCTTCACCAGTTAGCAAACTATCTGCAATAGCCTTATAGGGTTGAGTACATTCAGTACATTCAAGAGCATGAGCACCTCAAATATATCCATTATCTCCTAGTATTTCAAAAGCTGATTTGGTAACATCATCAATGGGAAGGCCATCTGGAAGCTGCAAGTCTTTTTGCTCCAAGTGAACATATTGATTCTTGGACAAATGCTTGCCAAATCAGCCGTCTTGTCATTTTTCCTGTCCTGTTCTCTAAATAACTGTTATTTCAGAAGTCTGTATATGCAGCTGCTGATGCATGAAAACTGTACATTCCATTTAACACAGCAGCAGAGAAGACACAATCAACCCATGTATTCTGACCAATTTTAAGATAGTGAGCAGAATTTAAGTAAACTCGGCTGACTATGTTATCATTGGATGTGTGTTCATGATCAGCCCAGTACAATGTTTTGCAAGATGTACAGATGCCAGTTAATACATATGCCTTTTCATGCATTTCATTTCCCTTGATCAAAGTCACAGTTGGTATATCTCTGGAAGGAGTATGCTGCATCAAAGATCGACGCTTGCATGATTTAGTCATACAAAATGGAGAATTAGGACAGATGAGTAACACTGGTTTAAATTCATCATGAGATGTTGGTTTCAGCTTTCCATGAAAATTTCCTTTATCATCATAAGGGTATAGATCCAGAAGTTTTGAAAAGTTATCAAGTTTATCTCCTATTGCAACAATCTTCTGATCTCCAGTAGGGCTTTCTGTCCAGGAAAGTCTTGTTCAGGTATAACTGAGTTTCTGCTGGGTTGATTGTGGCTGGGTTGTCGTTTGAAAGGTACAGTAAAACATTCCCCAAAATTTCACGAGAGTCATTGGCATCCTTGTCTGCATCAATGAGATCAGCCATATTGGCCTTATTCCCATGTGCACAACCATGTAAAACACCCCCTAAGCTTATAATTAAAACACTTAAATATAATGTCAAATAAATATCACCATACCTATAACACGAGATGCCCCTTGAAGTTCAGGTGTTTGTGGTGAACTCATTTGTCTTGCTTTCCCCTTGCATTGGGGAGTATGTGGTAGACTAGGGATTTCAACATCTGGTTCTAATATTTGAGTTAATCCACTTTAAAAAAAGAGAAGTAGCTAGACACATACCACGGGGATTAGCATCGATGTCCTCATCAATGTTGATGTTAGCGATGTTGCTTGTAATATCAGTTGAAGGATCTGTGATACATTTAGTATACATTATACATATGTAACATTCAAGTACCTACCTGGGTTAGAGTCCATGCTGTCAAGTTCACCAGAAAGGTTGTTGAACTTGTCATCTCGATCGCGGGCTGTCTCACAATCGCGAATACGATCTCTGATATGATCCTCATCATCATGATGACCACTTGTTTTCTTGGGTGAGTTATGTTGATCCCTATCTTCATCCTCATCGTTTTTGGTGCTGTCACCATTGCTGTCAGGGCCATTGTCACTATTGTCTTCATCATCCATGTTGCCATTGTCACCATTGCTGCTGCTGTTGTTGGTGTTGTGGCTGTTGTTGTCCTTGTCAATGTCACTGTCACTTTTGTTGTCAATGTCATCATTGGTGTCTCACTCATGTACAGATGGGAGAGTGGGCATGGCTGGGATGGGAGGTGCAGCAGCTGGGCGGACTCGCTCAGTTAGTGAAAGGGATTTGGAATAGGTGGTCGACAGACCTGGTAAGTTTGAGAGGGGAGCCAGCCTTAGCATCCTCTTCAGCTCGCATGGCAGATGTCTTTCTGAAAGTAATCAAGTGTTAGTATCATGGCAAGTGTGGGGCAAAAGGCATACCTGTTTTTCTTCCCTTTTGGTGCTTTCTTTTCCTCCTTCTTCCCCTTTCTGCCCTGCCCTTTTCCAGTTCCTTTGACTTCATCTTCATCATACTTTTGCTGCTTTGTTTTGGGGTTTTCAGAAGCAGATGATGTTGTTCGTTTAGAGGGTGGTTTAGATGATGAGACTGGTGGATCACGAGAAATACCACTGCGGTTTGTTTGTCTTTGGGATCCTGAATGGAGACCAAGATGGATGATAATGGACCAAGACAGACAAACACCCAATGGAAAATCCAAGTAGGCATGTCTATGCGCAACTTCCACGTCAGAATATGACACAGATACAAACAAGGATGAAAAAGAACAGTTAAAGAACAAGTTCAAAATTCAGATGGTAACTTAGATAGGCAGGAGCACACACACAGCAGGAGGTAACAAGAGAAACATGAACAGATAGAGATATGAAAAGGAGACAGCAGGTTAACACAGGAATGACTTTACACAAATGTACAATATGACAGCAACAGCAGCAGTGTGCAGAGACAACTTGACAAAGGTGTACAATACAAAAAGCACAGCAGGAGGGTGCAGGGATGACTTGATGTAGATGTACAATACAACACACACAGCAGGAGGGTGCAGGAATGACTTAACACAGATGTACAAATGCTGAGGCCACAACAAAAATCAAACAGGTAAAAAATCAACAGATGGATATGGACAGGATCACACAAGCAAAAAACACCCAAGTACAAGCCCTAAGGAGAGACAAAAAAAAAATAGACAGGCAAGGGACAAGATGACAAGCTGTTGATGAATCAGACAGGGCCTGGCAAAACCTGGCAGAGACAAAGCAGAGAGGTGAGCAGAGATGGACAAGCAAAGAAAAAACAGCTCAGTGAAGACACAAAAACAAAAGAGAACGGACATGTGTGCACAAATAAGCATAGACGAGCACACGTGGATGAGCGCGCATGGATGGGTTGATGGGTTTCAATGGGTGTCGATGGGTTCAGGAGAGGTGTCAATGTGTGCAGATGCACACCAACAGTTGTTGACGGGCATGGATGGGGCTGGATGGGGTTGGATGATGTTGAGCAGGGATGGGGGATGGTGACGTGGCAGCCGTTAACGGGCACTGGGCACCTGTCTGGTTAGCGTCGTCTTCGTAAACGGGCATGATGGAGAGGCATGGAGGTGACCACGCTGGTGGTGATGGTGGTGGTGGTGGTGGTTGTGTTTGACAGCAAAACGGAGATGCTGACGCCGGCGAACGCCGCGACTCATTTAGGAAGGTGGGTGTGAGGGTGGGTTGTATAGAATAAATGTTGCTGGAATTTTAAGAGCTATATGGTGTAGTGGAAATACTGCTGCTCAGACTTCATGTGATATTTCCCGAGGCTAGAGTTCAATCCTTATGCATCCACTTATTTTTATATATATTATAATAACAACAACAAATATTGGAATTCATTGGAATCTCTCGGAATCTGTTGGAATTTGACTGGAATATACTTTCCATTGGAATTCCAATGGTAACTGTTCCGGGAGGCTCCCGGATTCCGACCATTTCCACCGGATTCCATTGGAATTTCCATGGAATTGGAACCCAGAATGGCTGAGGCTCCAGCCAACTAGTTTCCATCGGAATTCCATGGAATTCCGACATTCCACTTGGAATCTGCTGGAACTCATGGGGGATGGTAAAGACCTCCACAAACCAAGGATTATAGTAAGTACTCATACCAGAGATTAAGAGTAATTTTTCAAGCTGGGACAGGTACTCCACCTCATTCACCACAAGTTTCGCATGATGCAGGCAAGTAATCATGATATATATATGTACTGTTATTAAATTCAATTTAGATATTAATATGCAGAGTCCTCTAAAACTTCAGGGAGCATCTCGCACTACAGGTAAGAATTATTTATTAAACTGCATAGCCTCTTTAATTACCAAGACTATAAGGGGGAATCCTTTGTGGTAACACCTATGGAAACATTGAAAACATGGCAGATTTATTAGAGACAGATAATCAGGGACAGGGCAAAGTATGGGGTCACGTCAATATCTATGTTTCCAGTGAGAATCCTGCCCTTGTTGATCCCTCATCGGCAAGGTCCGCTTTCTCTGCTGTCACACAAGTTGTACCACGACTTGGACCTGTTCTTGAAGATGTAGCAGTCACATTCTCACCTCTCAAAAGTATAAACTTCACTTGTATTTGTAACAGAAACTAACAGCTTTATGGGCAGATTGTAATTTACGGGTGTTTAGTCTGGATAATGATGCATGGGTTGTTCAAGGGCAGTATAATTCTGCAATTCAAGGTGGTGGAGATCAGGCTCATTGGGTGTTTGGGGGCAACAAGTATCATTTGTCAGTCTTATGCATATGTATATTGACACTTGTAAAGTTATATCTAACTCTGATGCTGGATTGTTTTACAGAGTGATTTTGACCCTTTCTCAGCCAAGCCTTCAACCACAGATACTCCCACAGCATAGGCTGCCTCAGTAATAATCTGCAGACTATCTCAGGCAGCAACACTACTCTTTGGCAGAAGTGGATTGATACTCTCTAGATTCCAGTCCATGTTACCACCAGCGTCATCAACCCTCCTCTTCTTTTGGCCTATGAGAGGTACAAGCAGCATAGCTCAGCCTCCAATTGTCTTGACAGAATGGTCGCAGAAGGAACTTGGCCTTCTGACATTATGAAACCATCCATTAAACAACTCATCGAGATCTTTGTCCTGAAAACCACTTGGTATGAGTAGTATGGGCCAGCTTTTTCCACCATTACCCAATTTCAACTCATGCATCACTGGTTGGAAGGAGGTAATGACCGCCCAACTGAGGAAGATGCTTGGGGCAGCAGGGCAAAGACTGATGGATATACATTGGGTGATCTCAAAGAGTGGGTGATGGCAAACAAGGATAAGGGTAAGAAGAAAGGGAGGGAAAGGTCAGATGGTGGTGAGGGAAGCAAATCCAAGAAGAAGAAGAAGAGGGATGGGGATGATGACAGAAGGAAGGAATCAAGAGCAAGAAGCAGAAGTAAGTACACTGTAGATATCAGTTTTTTGTTTTTTGTTTTGTTTTGTTTTTGTTTTTGTTTTGTTTTTTTCTTGTTTTCTTTTTCTTCTTCCTGGTTTTGTCCATGGTTTGATATTATTTACTTTCTAGTCCATTTTTTCAAGTTTTCTTCCCTGATATGCTTTACTTTGCTTGGTCTTTGTTCTCTGGGCTTGCTTCTGCTCTCTGGATACTGTTTATGGATCGGCGATAACCGGGTATCATCCATGGCCGTTTAAGCTTCCCTGCACTCTATCCCTGATGGGGGAATCAATCTCCAAGCAAACGGGATGGTTCGTGACTTTCCTAGTCAGAGGACCTGAACCACATCAGAACAGTAAAGTAATGACGTTCATATAAGGCCATGCACTTTCCGTGGTGTTGTGTTCTTGCTAACTAGTGGATAAGGTTAAATTGTGGCAAGACAGGTGATGAATTGGACTTTGAAGGTTTTCTTGGAGAGGCTGCCTATGACGAACATATTGTTGACCTGTTTTGACGATTTCCTACACAAGGCATTCCATAAGTCCTGTGCATAATAAGCCAATAGTTTGCTAACAAGTCATTAGCTGCTGAGCTCTGCATAGGAAGAGGGTTAAATTCGAAATCTAACTCACCTGAAGCTGTGGAGGAGAGCAATACCAAAAACGCCGACGACAATGAGGTAGGCGTGAGTGGTAGCTACCACTTTAATCATAAACCATAGGCAAGTGCCTGCACAGGCATTTATTTGCAGCCAAGTAAAAGTATGAAATGAAATTCTAGCCATTTCATTTCTGCCTAGGCCTATATTTCATTGCTTTCCTAGTGCGATGTTTTAGCCATTTCATTTCATTCTGGCCTATGTTTCATTGCCTGCCCAGTCTCATGTTTTGGCCATTTCATTTCTACCTAAGCACATATTTCATTGCTTGCCTAGTGTGATATTTTATATTTTACTCATTTCTTGCCTACTTTGATGTCTTAGTCATTTCATTGTTACCCAGGCATATATTTCATTGCTGCCCAGGCCTATATTTCATTGTTTGCCTGGTGCAATATTGTACTTATTTCATTGCTGCCCAGGCATATATTTCATTGCTTGCCTAGTGCGATATTTTGCCCATTTCATTGCTGCCCAGGCCTATATTTCAGTTGCCATACCCTTGGTGATCACTAGGACTCAGGCAAGTCCTGAGGACTGAGATTTCACCTCAGCCAGGACTGGACCAGGATTGGGTGCAGTGAAGAGGTCACATGACTTCATACAGGTAATCTCATGTGCAAGGTTAAACATCACAGTAATGTCACTATGGAATGACCATGGAATGGTCATGGAATGATCAATTCCATATGGGCTCCAACACCACTCCATATGGATTCCATTGGATTCCATATGAAATCCATGTATATCCACATTGGATTCCATGGAGTAGTCCATATGGATTCCATGGATGACCATTATACCATTAGAATATAGTATTCATAGTCTCCTTACTTTATTTAAGGATAAAAAAAATTACATCAACAAGAATTGAACTCTCAACCTCAGCACTCAAGTCAACTGAGCCACAAGGGCATTATTATATGACAAAGTAAAGGTAACTATATATACCACTTTACATCATGTGGCATCTCAAATGTGACAGCTGTGGCTGACGCATTGCCACGTTGTTTCTTCCTCTCACCACCACCACCACCATCCACCCCACCACTGTCTCATGACCGCCTGCGACATCGACCTGCGACATCGACAACAATGACGCTGACAACAACAACATGACAGCCCACGAACGGGGACAAGCACCCACGAAAACGAGCGCTGACGGACGTGAATGAGCACCCATGTGGCCAGGTAAGCACCCATGTGGCCAGGTAAGCACGAGGTGCCACATCGCACGTTGCTGACTGCGACATGGCAACCAGACTTTTTTGGGAAGTCAGGCAATGTTCCCGGAAGATCATGCCACATTTATAACAGATCACACAATGTTTCCAGAAGGTCAAACAAGAACTTTGGCACTAAAAACTGTTGAAGCCCTTCACTTTCACCTGTATTTTGGTGTATTGAACATATTGGATGATAGTAATGAGTGCACATATTCCCTGGAGGGTCAGGTAATGTTTATCCTATTTCACATGCATTTCAAACATCAAGCAATGTTCCTGAAACATCACACATTACTTTCAGAAGGTCTCATAGTGTCTACAAGTTTGTAGTGTCTATTATTTCAGAATACGAAAGTTTGTAGTCTCCACTTTTTGAAACTACAATTGTTTGTAATGTTGACTTTCAAACTACGGAAAAAAAAGGATTTGCCATTGATATAGTTCAAGGAATGAGAATGACACAAAGTTCAATCTTAAAACCCATTATACGATAATAATGGCATAATGTCCACCCTTTTCAGTCTTTCAATCACAGCCCCATGAACCTACATGCTTATTCACAGTGAAGGACACCACCAATTATGTGTCAGAAAAGCGGATTACAAATTTTTGAGGTTTAAAAAAGTGGACCATACCAGTGTGAAGAGCAGATACTACCGAATTTTGTAGTCTAAAAGTTGACACTAAAACACTTATCATCACAGAAAGCAGATGCTAGAAAGTGTTTTGGAGTACTACCATTGAGAATGTTAAAGACAAATTTGGGCATTTTTTTCGCCAGGACCTTCGGAGCACTGACATGTTAAATTTTCAGCTGATGTTTCAGAGCACTAACATTTAGCATGTTAAAGCCAAATTTGGACATTTTTCTGCTGGAGTTTCAGAGCACTGACATGTTAACTTTTCCACCGGAGTTTCGGAGCAATAATGTTCAGCATATTAGACAAATTCAGACATTTTTTGCTGGGACCTTCGGAGCAGTGACATGTTAAACTTTTGGCCAGAGTTTCAGAGCACTAAGGTTAGGCATCCCCAAAATACACATGAAAATGCAGGATTTCAGCAGTTGTTTCTCATTTGACATGCTTACTGACCTTGCATATTCCCATCTTTCCATACTATAACAGCAGTGAACCCAGCCGAGACTATAAATTTCAAAACATTGGAGGGCAATACTGACCTTCATATTTCTTCATGGCCATACCACACACCGGAGGCATGCACCAGGCAGTTGAAAGTCAACTGCCTTAAGAGCAGTTCACTGGCAGTTGAGTTTCACCAGCCCGGCCCTCTGTGCTGGAGCAGGCATGTCAACTGCCAGTTAACTGCACATATTTTCTGGGAGGCAACATGATATTCCCAGAGGTACTTCAGCACTACTAGCTGATGAAATCTTGGGTTTTGACATGTGTTGAGTGCACATATTCTTTGAGAGGCAACACAATATTTCCAGAGGGATTTCGGCACTACCAGCCGATGTAATCTTTGGTTTTAACATGTGTTGAATGCACATATTTTCCCCAGAGGCAACACGATATCCCCAACCAGCTGCCGAAATCTTGCCAAATGAACTTCTCAAGAAAGAAGTTTATTCACCTTGTTGACGTTGCCGATAGCAGAGACAAAGCTGCTGTGCATGCTATGGCTGAGCTCAATGGCAATTCTGGTATTGGAGGCATTGATGCTCTCCCATATTCTTCCCATATGCCTACCATGCACATTTGAAATTTAATTCATGTAAACTCCAAAATGCAAATATCATGGAATTCCTAGCCACAGAGAAAATATGCCCATTAAAATGGGCCATCATATGTGGCTGATTTGTTTATTTAATATATGACCACAATGTGCCTAATACACTTGAGACAGGGTCCAAAGAATATTCAGGACAAATTTGGACATATGTACCTCCATAATTGTGGCCATTTGTAAAATAAAGAAGCTGGTGTGCATCTGGAAAACATCAATTGTCAAAATTACAAAATGAATAACAATAAGAATGTTGAGCACATTCAATTTACATATCTAAACAATTTCTTTGGGAAATAACCCTGGTAGCCATGGCAACACCACTCAGCTGAAGATTATGTTAAAGAAAAAAATAACAGAAATGACCACTCATGTGCTCAATGTTCTTATTGTTCATCAATTTGAGATTTTGATAATCAATATTTTTGGGATGCACATCAGCTTTATTATTCAACAAGTGTCAACAATTATGGAGGTACCTTTGCCTAGATCACACATTGGACCCTGCCTCAAGTGATAGGCGCATCATGGTCACATGCTTTATGTACTAGTGTGCTAAAGTAAATATACACACACAAATACAATCAGCATGGGACTGCTGGGCACATGTCTATTGACATATCAAATAAAATGCTTCCAATGTAATCAAGGGGCAAATTGGAAAGTCACAGAAGAACTGTGGCCATCATGCTGGCAAGATGTGGATGACATGCACAAATTTATTATCTGAGCATCATTGAAGTGATGGTAACATTTTGATTACATATAAATTATTCTTCAAATTTGCCTCAGTGACACATAAAAGTGATATTTTGGTCACATTTAAGATCTAATCCTTCCGTTTGCTTCAAAATGAACATAGTATTTTTTTGGCAGTACCATTCATAATAAGCCAACTGATAAATCTTTGAAGGTGAGTGATGCACAGGGTATAGATAATGAATAATAATAATGCTGACTGCTGACTGCTGACTGTTAAATTATGAGGGTAACTGTTGACTGCTAACAACTAATTGTTTTTACTAATCCTAACTGTGACAGTGTGATTAGCATTATTATTTTACCAGTTAGCAGTCAGCATTATGAATTATTATCTGTATTGAGGTTGGGCAGGTTCTGAGGAGGACCATGCAACGTAATGAGCTTGTAGGAGTATATAGATCAATATAAAGCACTCAAAACATTTTTTGTACATTTCTTATGGATCAACTATGAAGGGGTATTAGAGTATCATGTATGAGTTTTCTATCATAAAAAACCATTTATTTCATTCTGAAAACATTTGCCAATGAGAGATCTGTAGTGCTCACTTGAAAGCTGAAAGCGCTGGTGACAGGGATTTTCCTCTGCA